ACCCCCTTGAGTTGAGCAAAGTGTACATATGTTCTTATGAAAAAGAGAAATGGGAAATTTTCGCTGCTTTTGAGAGACCTCATTACTACAGCGATTCTTCAACTTTATAACAATACAATTTTTTCATTTTCTATTCCCTGATATCTCTTTTTTTATACTAAAGCCATTGTTAAGACCGTACTCTGGAAGACGTTCCAATTTCTTCCTAGCCTAGGCCAAAGCAGATTGCTTTAGCAGAGTGAAGTATGTCCAACTCCTTGTTCAGGTGGTCTATATGTGTTCGAGTATATGGTCCAAGCATCGCACATTGCCCAACTAGTTCCCTTTGTCGAGTAAAGAGAAGTAACAAGTCGAAGTAAGGTACCAGAGCGTGACCAACTCAGCACGTCTAAGTATGGCAACTTCTGCATCCACGGCCGCTTTTAAAGTCACGCCTGGTTCTGCAGCCGTTGTTTTCAATTGCAATCATTGTTGACTTGCTTACTGCCTGCTGTACTGCCAGACCTTCACCTGCTGAGATTTCTTGTACTTTCATTTATCCTCTGGCAGAGATCAGTGCTCTCTTACCTAGGTGTACTAGACAAGTAGTAGTGTCCTTCCATCAATTTTCTAAAAGTTCATATTTCAGTAAGCTCCTTTTCTGAAAAATATAACATCAAAGGGTTATGGCGAATGAGGTTATACCTGTCTAGAGGTTCTGTGATNGATCAAGGGTCGTCCCCGCTCCCGGTGTACTTCGTACTTTGTCCCGCGTAGGTTGCGGCGGGTCCACACTAGTATTGATAACTTGCTAGTAAGGACATTTTTTCTATCTTCATCACTAATGAAACCCTTTCAGTAATCCACCCTAAAATTTATCCTTAGCTTTTCACTTTGTAATGCCATCAGCCTTAGTAATTTCAATTGATCTTCACATTAATCTCTACTGTTCGCTCTAGCGGTGAATTTTGCGGACGGAACGTTTGAGATCATTCCTCAATCACTCTTTGATTTAGCTGAGAGGCTACTCGTATTCTATTACAGTATGGTGAAATATTTGGGAGGAATCTTGAAATATAGGTTTCTGAAAAAGCAGTACGAAAGAGAAAGATCACCGAAGTCAGGAATGATTGGCTGCAGCGGTTTTTCGAATTTTTGCAATTCATATCATTAGATTCTCGGGAACAGACACGTGTTTTGTTTGGTCTAAGTATTTTGCTTTCTGATCTGAAATTTTGAAGCCTGAATTCTTGTTTTCCGCATGTCGTGGTGAGCACTTTCTTGAATCTCCTCTGAGTAAGTGTAACCTATAAGCTGGCTACCAAAGCGGTTGTTAGGCCAGGTATTAAGGACATGAGAGGAAATGGTTTTGAAGGAACACGTTATCAAGAAGTATGCGCTTGGAAATGAATAGGCAATTAGGAATGTGGAATTCACTGTTCTGTGCCTCAACGAACTATATGATGGCGATGTTTGCAGTTTTGATGGCTGAAGTGATTTAATGTACTTTGTTCCCATTTCAATCCATTCTCCACTCAAAGTCGGTTTCAGTATCGGAAAATTACTTGTACCAGTTTGGAAACCCGTTCAGTAATGCTCGAGACTTTTACGAATGCCCGTTTCTGGGTGGTATTGTCCGTCAAAAAAGGCCGTACCACTTCATCCCTGCTGTAGTCCCTCTCCATTACATTGCGTGTTGGGTCTACCTTTGAGATACCCGTCTTTTCATGCTCTCTATTAAATTTTTTCAATTGTCCTTTCTAATATACAATGTTTTCGAGATCTTAATTGTCATAATTTTTGAAGGCTTCGTTTTTTTTTTCAAAAAATACTCGTTTTGATACTCCGATTAGGGCCATGTTAACATACCTATTATATTTTTTCCATTACGTAATTAGTAGAATTCCATGAGTATTGTGGGTAGACATTTTCCGCCCCTCCAGGGCTGTTGAGGTTCATGTAGACCTGCTTGTCGTGTGCGGCCAAACTTTGTCCTGCTGGAAGGGAATTGAAATGTGGGAGTACAGAGGTGTTCGTGAGAGTCCCTAAAGAAGAAACTGATACTTTCGATTGGTTTTTGAAGGTAGAATTGGTTAATTCTTCAACAGCCATTCGCAGAATATCATCATCAAGGTCTTCCGAAACGGGGTTTATCTTCAAGGCTGCAGTCACAAGAATAGAGTTTTTCGACACTGTCTGCATTGATTGCGCTACAGTGTCCTCTATGCGATCCATTTCTGTCTCTTTCGGTGGCTAATCTTAAAGCTCTTTTGTATTTGTAAAAAATAGTATGCTAATTATGCTCTTTTCTCGAAAATGTTCGGGTCAGTGTGACTGAAAAAGCTGTGGCTCAAATAGGAGAGGGACCCTGTTCTTGGGAGTGTGAGGGATAAAGAGCATGATGCCCGGAATTACACAACGGATTCGAATCCCCTCCGAACCCGAAATTTTGCTCCCAATTTGCCATCCCTGTGAGCTCCCTTTCACCTCTACTTTGATGCTGCTGATGGAAATGTTGAAGTTTCCTATGAAATTTCTATTTAAGGGTTTGCATGCTGCGGGGAAGGGATATGTATTTCCCAAATCCTGCTACAGAGCAGATTCATTGCAGGACCAGCTCCTTTCTTTTACCTTTCTAGAGCCACCTAGGCAGATTACTGATTGGATATCCCGATAGTCAACACCGGCTACCCAATCAATGTTCTGAAGAGTAGTGAGGTTCCAATTACTTTTTCTAATCTTATCAGTGTTGTTACATGACAACTATTCATTGCGGGACTGTTTCAATTTTTTTGTTTTCTCGCTGAATCGGCTTTGGTTCTTGCCTTTGAAAATAGAATTTGAAGTTTCCATTCATCTAATCAAGGCTAGGACTTGGCAGTTGATTTCGTTGCTAAGTTTTACATCTCATACTTCGTTATGTTCATTTCTCAGATAAGCTGACGTATATTCCATAACCGTTCGTAATAATATGAAATGTTTTCTTACAGCAGCTGTTGGGTCAAGGTCACCAGAATGCTGTCGCGTCTCACTCATGGAACCAGACTCGTCGGTGAGCAACTTTGGCCAATGATACCTGCAATTACAAATCGTTAAGAGTTCCATACTGCAGTACATATCGGTGTGCAGAATTTTAGGAGAAATAGCTTCCTTTATGTTCTGTCACGATCAAGTGTTCAGCTTGTTCTAGCTTGATCACAACTAGATTACCTAAAGGAATTTGCAACACTGTAGGTAATAGTAGCTATGGTTATCGATGTGTTTATGGATTACTTGTGTTAATAAGTAATGCTATCCACTACTGCGTACTCTACCTATGCATACTTACAATTTACACAGTAGTGCACTACGCTGCAAATGCTTTAAACTGACCTCTTACCCAAAACCTACTAGAATTTGTTTTGATGAATGTTGTAACATTTCTTTCTCGGAGAAAGGGCAATAGCAGATGTTTTTTTCATGTTACTGATGTCTTCTCATTGGCAAACTCAATTTTAAAGTCACTTTGATTCGTTGCTTTCAGCGCCGCTCGTGCGACGATTTTCGGTCACCATGTCGGTCAGCCAAGGTTCGTTGAATTTCTTATTTTCTAGAAATACACTTTTAAACACTTGCATGAAGATCGAAGAAACAAATAACAACCTTCAAAGTAACCTGCATCTACTCAAAAACACTTCTTGTGAGGAATTTGTCATCTTTTCTTTTTATTGGGCATTAGAACCTCATTTTGAGTCGTATACATTCAAAGCAAATGAAAGGGGGACGAGTGGGTATAGGTAGGACTCGGAATGTACTGTTCGAAGGATAAGGTAAGGAAGTTGCCTCTCGTGTCTTTTCACAAATTACTTTTTTGTATCCAAATCTCTCTTAACCCTTATCACCTCAATATTTCACTCCTTGTGAATAACATTCTGTGGACTCTGAGTCAGGTATAATATGGGTATGAGAAGCAAAATAGTCATTAGAGTCTGTCCCAATATCTACTTTTCGGCATTAATGCCAAGCACCTTTAATTTCCAGGAAGTGTGAAGCTAGAGCATAAAGGCGATGTCGCCGTTATCAAGATGGACATTCCAAACACAAAGGTGTGTCAATGTTTACGTTTGTACTTTGTTTTTTTCATTTTCAAGTGCAATATATGGTTTTTCTAGGAGAACATACTCAATGAGACATTGACCAAGGAGCTCCAGGACGCTTTTGAAAAGGTTTTTGTACTACCTGTACCATTTAATGCATCCATGCAAATCGTATTCCTCTTTGAGTTTTAGGTGGGACGCGATGAATCGGTGAAGTCAATTGTTCTAATGTCCGGCAAACCAAATAGTTTTGTTGCTGGAGCCGATGTTACGATGCTGAAGAAGGCAAAGACTCCTGCAGATGGGACGAACATCTCCAGGTAGCTTTGTTTTGGATAGCTCTTCAGGAAAGGTTCTCGAATTCATGGTAATATGGTTTCAGACAAGGGCAGGAACAATTCGAGAAATTGGAAAAATCAGGAAAACCAATAGTGGCAGCGATAATGGGAAGCTGCATGGGTGGTGGTTTAGAGTTGGCGATGTCATGTCATTACCGTATCGCCGTCAACGACAGCAAAACTCAACTTGCATTACCTGAAGTGAGTAATAACTTTGGTAGTTTTTCGGTGATTCTTGTGACATGATGAGAATAGCTCCTGAAAGTCCTTTGTAGGTAATGTTGGGTCTTCTGCCTGGAGCTGGTGGAACCCAACGACTACCGAGGCTCGTATCAATTCAAAATGCTCTCGATATGATGCTGACAGGAAAACGTGTCAAAGCCGATAAGGTGATTTCTTGGGAGGTCTTTGTTCGTGGAGGCATGCGTTTCGGCTGTGCTTTCAATGCTTTCTTATTTCCTCGCAATGTCACAATATCGTATTTTTGCAGGCAAAGAAGATGGGCTTGGTAGATTCAGTGGTCCAACCTCTTGGTGATGGTCTGGAACCTGCTGCGATAAATACGCACAAGTGAGTCTGAGGAGTTTACGCCCTCGATTAGAATCTATTACGTTTTATTTAGGTATCTAGAAAGAATTGCTGTTGATACGGCTCGTCAAATAGCCGATGGATCACTAAAGGTGAACAGGGAGAAACCTTTGATGGAAAAGGTGATGCATAAGGTATGAATGATTTGTACTACAGTAGGTGGTATTCGCCTCGTGCGGGTTGCTGCTTTGGAGTTATATCGAGCTCTAAGCAGTTGTCATGAACTTATTAGGGATATGAACTATATTGGCACTCGAATTAGATTAAGTTGAAAAATTTGTTTGCTATATCAGAGACGGGGGTCTTATCNTTCCAAGAAGACCATCTACTTTCCAGGCCTTGACGAATTCCTTTGTACTCGATAATGTGGTGATGAAAATGGCGAAAGACAAGGTGAGTTAGAATTCCCGTAATATTTATGAATTTCTCGTTCAAATATTGCTGCTTTATAATGTTGTCTTGAATTTCATGTGCTAAATATAGTCCCTTGATGAGGCGGTGTTCAGGTAATGAAAGAGACGGCAGGAAATTACCCGGCCCCCTTGAGAATTCTTGAGACCGTTCGTAAAGGATTAGTTGAGGGACCAGCTGCAGGATACAGTTATGAGTCTCAGGTAACTATTAGCTCATTCTACTAAATGTATTACTTGTGAAGCTTTTTGAAATGAACTTTTCCGAAAGTCAGCCACAGTAATTCAACCCATTGATAGCTGAATTGCTGTAATTTGTTCGAAAAGTTGCCTTGATGGCAATATTACGTTTTTTCCGTTTGAGGGTTGGGATATAGCGACAGGATATGATGAGCTTTCGGATTCATTTATCTTTTTTAACTAATTGGCATCTAGATAACCAAGGCTTCATTTGCGCACTATTCATGGTGAAGTATTAAATGTTGTGTCATTAACAGTGCTTCGGTGAACTCACTCAAACTTACCAGTCGAAAGCTCTAATTGGACTCTTCAATGGATCTACGGAGTGCAAGAAGAACAAATTTGGTGAAGGCAGACCTGTCAAGTAGGTTTTATATGGTGCTTCTTCAGCTCTAATTTTAGGAGATAGGATGAATATCTGGATATCTGGCAATTGCTTATCTTTTGATCTCAATTTCTGTAAATGATCAGATGTCATTATTGGCTTCTATTTCATGACGTCATAAGATATTTCTTTTCCAACGAGAAATGCAAGTAGCTGACAGTAAGTGTAAAGCCCGTGATTATGAATGCGCGGAAGTTTACGGGGTGGATCTCACGCTTCAAGGCGCTTAGGCACTGATTCCTAGAGTGTAAATCAGTTGCTGACCGCGGAGATCTGCTTCTAATGCTTGCTCTCACACCTCAACGATGAACGTAGTGTACATCAGTAGCATTGGTATAGTTGCAGTACTCTACACATATCATTAACTGGAGGTACAGTGAAGAAGCTCGGATTGCACGTAGTTTAAACGATGTTTTTCGATTTTTTTAGTCGGTGATGGTTTTCCCACATATTAACACTTATTTACCGCCCTCTGAAAGCTGCAAATGTTCCGACTTGGCAGCAAAAAGAGGTGCTTCGTTTTAGGGAAGTGGCGGTTGTTGGAGCAGGCCTTATGGGAGCTGGTATTGCAAATGTAACGATAGACAAAGGACTCAGATGTGTCTTGCTGGACATGAACGAGCAGGTATTTCCATTATACTGCTATTTGCGTTTTATTTTTTATTCCCGCTTTCACAATGGAAGGGTAGTTCATTTGAGTGCTCCAACTAAATGCAATATAATACGCACAGGGTCTTGAGCGTGGTGAAAACCAGATAATCACTCAGTTAAATGGTCAAGTGAAGAGAAAGAAGATTAATAAATTAGATAAGGAAAGGTGAGTTCCATAAATAGTAACCTGGTTGGTATGATTGGCATTAATATATTTGTAGAATGATATCGAACTTGGTAGCATCATGCGATTATTCGGCAATGAAGAACTCGGATATCGTTATTGAAGCTGTATTTGAGGACTTGGCTTTGAAGCACAAAGTGGTCAAACAAATAGAAGGAATAGTTGGTCCTGTGAGTGCTTACAGCTTTTTACTGACCCATGTAAAGATTTCATTCCATTGAACTGAATCATAAATGGAACCTAACCATATTTTTAGAACACAATTATCGCATCAAATACGTCAGCACTTCCCATAAAGGATATTGCAAAGGCGTCTTCTCGGCCTGAAAAGGTAAATTTCATGGTTTACGACAATGTATGGTTTGGTTTTGTAATACGTTATAATACTCGTGTAGTTTTTATGAGATTCCGATCTTTTCAAAAGACCATTTCCCCAAATCTTTTATAAGGGCGAATGGGTGTCGCAAACTGGTGGATGGGTCGTTTGATGGTTTATTAAACCAACTGCAGAGTTCCACATTATTTCTTAACGTTTTGGTCATAATTCCAACAATGTGAGTTTGATGGCACTCTGGGATCACCTTTGAAGCAACTATATTTCCTTAATCCCGGTAGATCTAATCCCCCTAAACTCGTTTATCTATCTTATGGCCAGATGTACATATTTCTTCGAAGGCACTTTATTTGATCACTCTTTCCTCCTCAATCGACTTCAGTTGAACTGATCTCCTTGGGTAATGTCGGAATTTATTTCTCATTGGTGTTCATTTAACTCCCTCTAGATCTTTATCTCCCCTTTTTGTGACCATATGATGATTATCATTCACTTTTTATGCAAATATTTTTCTGTATGAACTGACCTCAAAGCTATTTCTCACAACCTTTCATCCATTTCACTCATTCTGCTCTCTTTACCTTTTGCTTGTGTAGAACAGCGTTGTCATGTCTCAAAAGACCCTATAACGAAATTGCTGGCCACTAAAGTTATATATTTGAGCTATGATAATAGGAAATGTTCCCACAATTTTATATTTATCAACAATGTTTAAGATCATTGGTATGCACTATTTTTCACCCGTAGACAAGATGCAATTGCTGGAGATTATCGTGCATGATGGAACCGCAAAAGAAACCTTAGCCACAGCCGCACAACTAGGTTTGAAGCAGGGCAAGCTGGTGGTTGTTGTGAAGGTAATGGCCTGTTTTATATGTATTGTTTTTCTGTATAATTCTAACAAAAATAGTTAACAGGATTGTCCTGGATTCTTTGTTGTACGTTGCCTTGGTCCAATGATGTCGGAGGTTATTCGCTTGCTGCAAGAGGGCGTTCCACCACCAGAATTGGACAAACTCACAAAACAGTTTGGGTTCCCCGTAGGAGCAGCAACATTGGCCGATGAAGTTAGTGCTTTGGGTTAATTGTAAAGAAACCACGGTGGTTAGTTGAGGTATAATGAGTAGTTAAGGTCGGCTTGGATGTGTCTGCTCACGTAGCACAATTCTTGGGTCAGGCATTGGGACCACGTGTTCGTGGAGGCTCGGCCGATTTGCTGTCTGACATGATCAACGCCGGATTTAAGGGCAGAAAAACGAACAAAGGTTGGTATGATGACATTTGAGCTAGCATCTTTCCGGAGATTACAAGCAAATAGACGATAGCGTTTAACTGAACCGGACGCGCGCGGTTGCGAAGCGCCCGTTGCTGCTAGCCGCATTGACTAGTGAAGCATTCGACTAGTAGTGAGGTGATCATTATGTGTGCTAGAAGAAGTCCTGCGTATCAATTTGAGTTCCAGCAACATTTTTCTGATAGCCGCCGCGCAACCGCACGCACCCCAGCTGTGCATTGTCCACACATTTTCCCATATTGTAATTTATTTTGTTAAGTTATTTCGAGGTATCCTGTCACTTTTTCGATATTTTCAGGTATTTATGTTTACCAAGACAAAGGTAAGAAGAAGGTAAATGAAGAGTCGACGAAAATCCTGCAGAAATATCAATTGAAAGCACCGGAGAATTGGTAAATTGCTTTATTTATAATGCTCCAACAAGAAAAAGGATGTTTATTGATTTCAATTCCAGCTCCTCGGTAGAAGACCGACAACTACGTCTAGCGTCACGCTTTGTCAACGAAGCTCTACTCTGCTTAGAAGAAGGAGTCATCGCCAGTCCGGTATCTTTTCTGTTTCTGTAGAGAATTTAGATGTGGTGTAGACATTTGTTATTGCTGCATAGAACGTTTTACTGTTGGCTTGGTTTTAGAGTGATGGTGACATTGCGTCAGTATTCGGCGTTGGTTTCCCACCATTCTGGGGTGGACCATTCCGCTTCGTCGATTTATATGGAGCTCAGAAGTTGGTAACAGCTATGGAGAGGTTTGGCGCCGCCTATTCTGCAGAGCAGGTGAGTATGTTTTTGGTGTTTGTTTCTTTTTTCATTGTGATTTTTTAGCTCAAAAACAGTGTAAGCTTCTCGTCATTACGTTGTCAAAGGAAATCCAAATATATTTTCGGCGACGATCACTACCCAAAGATAACTAGCTTTCAGCGCTGTTAATCTTCGAATTCCCGTAGAGCGCGGCCAAGTGGGAGAGTCTGGCTTGTTGGCTTCAGAAGGGAGAGCATGGGAAAGGTAAAACCACTTTTTCCATGCTTTCCCGTTTGAAGCTCGCGAGCCAGCGCACCGCTGTTGGACGCGCTTTACGGGAAGTTGAGGATTAACAACGCTATAAGGTAAGGCTATCCATAGGTAATGATCGTTGCCAAGAATAGTCAATGTCGTATACATATAGTCGTGCTATACGGATACTTTCATTGCGAGTCATTTGCTTCTTCTCAAGGGTGTAGGAGTTTATCAGTGTTCGTACTTAATGGACTGAACTGTCCCAAAGTGATCAATTGATTTGTTTTCAGTTTGCTCCGTGTCAACTCCTCAAAGATCATGCCAAAACTGGAAAGAAGTTCTACCAATGAACTCACTGCCTGTCAAGTAACTAATTTTTTTGTATGAAAGGATCTGTTAATACGATGATCGTTGTTTTATGCTTCTAAGTTGTACGTTGCCACGTCTTGCGTGAGCTTTCTCCGCGTTTTGTTAGGATAGTTTTATATAATTTATTAACGGTTTTGATTAACACGGTTTTAGCGAACTGATACATGCTCAAATGAAAGGACATCACATATGTTTATAAATAGCTTGCTTATGTACGATAAGGACCTGATATCACTTTGTATGGTCAGCTTGATGACGTGTATGAATATTTATTAGAGTTCGGTGTCTAATTGAATGTTTTCCGCATATTTATCGGTACTGTCGGATTTTGCATTTTTTTTTTGTTGTGCATTTTTGCTTTTGCTTCGATCGCTTCAGACCCCCTACCCTTTGAGTGATTCTGTTGATACGCAGTGATCAGAAAATTCTCTGGGCTTATTGACGTTACATTGCGCCGCCCATGGACTTTTATTTTTCTGGTTAGTACTCTGGGAAATGTGTAGGGTTTTTTTTAAAAAACGCTTATTCGGGGAAATGTGTGAACACTAAGCACCCCTTACCGCAACTTCCCATCTTTTCATTTGTGCAATGCGTCGGGTAAAACTAATGGTATGTTAAGTAGCGAATTCCATGGTTCAGTGACAGAGGAGCTACCGACAGCGGTGGATCCCGTAGATAGCTCGCGAATATTGAACGACCCAGGAAAGAAGGAACCCAAAGAAGCACGCGACAACGCCACCTGACTTCATATGTTCTTAGGCGCTAATCGTGAAGTTCGTCCAGTACAAGGAACTTTCCGGCCAAGCCTTGAAAAAGATTTTGGCTTGTCGCTCGCATGTCGACTGGCAGCGAAGACACTGCATTGACGAAGGTAGTTGAGGCATTTTTCTTGTTAGCTGTAGGACTCCATCCTCTTCTTTGGTCGATGCGTTATAATAAGGCGAGGTAATGCGTCCACGTGTCCGAAATTCGTTGTGGAACAGTATTCGATAGTAAAGTCGTAGTTGTTCACAATCTGTACCCAGCGATGAGGTCGATGGGCCGTGAATACTGGCACTGATTGTGAGAATTAAGTCCGAGGCTAGTATATCGTTGGTGCTTTGGCGATATTTCTCCAAAGGAGTCGATTGTATTTCCGAGATATCGGGGTTGAGCCATAAGGAAATTACACTTGTCCACTCGGACGCGGCACTCATAGTCGAACATCCTCTTGAGCAGAGCTTCCAGATTGGCAACGTGCTCCTCGATGTTGCGGCTTGTGACGATAACGTCGTCAAGGTAAGCAGCGCAGCCTTCGAGTGCACGAATAATAAAATTTATGGTTTATTGGTTGATGCCTCGCGCAGATTTGATGCCTAACGAGAGGCGATTGTAGCGGCGTAATCCTCTGTGCGTATTAACTCCTATGTTATCTGTAGGTAGCAACTGCCCTGACCATGCAGAAAAGCAGTCTGGTCTTTCTTATTCTGTTCATTAGCGAGTCTTCTTATCGATTTTTCCCTGTCTGTCAATAACAAAATGTACGCGCCGGTAAAAGGCCCTTCAATACCAGCCGGCTAACCTCCTTAGGTTGGTGAAAATTATTCTCCTCCATTCCTTGTTCATGGAAGTTCCTCAGTGGACTCGAAACTCTATGGTCACCAATGCAACAATCACACGGTGCGAGAGCTGTTTCCACTCCACCCGTGAGGAAGAAAAAGGTACGACCCCTCCTTTAGTGTAGGATGTGTGAGCTTTTGCCCTGTCGGTGCATCGTTCCGTTGCGTGTCGCAGAAATTCATTAAGGATTGAGAGTGCACCACGTATATGTATGTCATATTTAATCCATTGACTATGGGAGACGGTACATTCGTGCGATTCGAGCTGAGCTCGGCAAATTGCGCGGCGAAGTTGGTGGCCATTCGAGCGGCCCTGGCGCCTATTATTGGGGCACAAACTCGAAGTAGAGTAGATCAGAATGGTCAGCTAATCCTACTAACCTACTTTACTGCGACTCGTGCCCCTGTAGTATTTATATTATTTATCAAGTGTTCTTATATTTTTTTCGTGTTTTCAAGTACCAGCTGAGCTCATGGCCTTCTAGCGAGTTTGAGGCTTTGTGGTCGAGAAATCATACATTTCTAACTACGTTAAAAGAGAAATTAAAAGTTAATGTAAGGACTGTATAAAAGGCGCGGTCGCCAATGGGTAAAATGAATGACTGTAAATAGCGTAGTGTCAATGAGTGAGCAAGGTAATAGTAATCTGTAGCCGCGAGAGCACTGCCGAAGATTTGCCGCGTGCGTGCGCACTACCTTGGGAATTTGGGCTTGAATTAGGCTACCCTGAAAAAATCGGTAAAAGAGGTGATAGAGGTCTTTTGGGTCACTAAAGTTCCCTTCGCAGAGTCTTAGTGAGCTTATTAGCTAGCGGAACTGAGTGATTTTCATTTTTCCTCTGCACTTGCACATCATGAAACTTCCTTTTGGATTCCTCTTTCAATGGTGTATGAGCTGTAACTTGAGCATATCGTGTTGTTGAAGCTAACGCTTCATGAAAATCACAGGCAGAAATGATGGGCAACGTCTAATCTCTAAATGTCGCCGGGCGCGCTCCAACTCAACGGTTGGTAATTAAAGGTGCGATGGCGGGACCTGTGCAGAAGAAACCGTAAAAGTGCTTTGTAGTGCTCAATTCGAACGCAGGTTCGCCCTCGGATGGCCCACCGGCGTGCCCTGAAACCAGCTTTTCATGGGCTGCCATAGGAGCACATTATGCCTCTACGGATTTGCGAATGCAAAATTGTATATGTGTCGTTTAATGTCACCTTTCTCCACTACATACCGAGTATGGGGAGTTGATTTTTGCAAGTCTACCTATTCGCTACGAAATCTAATGAAAAGGGATTGCAATAAAGGCGAGAAAGGGTAAGTAGGGGAAACAGCGACCTTCCGAATCACTGAACGCTAAAACGCAAAGATCGTTCAGCCGACTTACTTGTTCTAACAGGGAAGGTCCTTCAGAGCGTGGGACGCTTTTCCAAAATGGTTTTTTGCATGCTATGGGGGCATGAGCACTGAGTACAGAACTATGGTCCATTTCCGCTGAATGGCCTTCTGAATGCCAAAAAAGAGTGAAAATGGTTATGTCTGGAATGGCTGTTTAAATCCACTAAGCGTCGTTTGTTTCATTCATGGCGTCGACTGTCCGTCCAGTAGAAGGCGCCAGTGGACTGCGCAATGAAGATAACGTGAACGGTAGCCAAAAGAGGGAGCCACATGTTGTAGAGTGCGGGAAGTTTCATAGGTGCTCTCTACGTTTTAGCTGCTGACAGAGTCGGCTGGTGTATAGGATAGCGATGTGGACTTTGAGGATGGACGACTAGGATGGGTTGATGGTTCGTGTCTCCGGGGCTTTGCCGTTTTCGCATTCTATGCTGCCACCTCCAGATTGGCTCCATATGAACTAGTGCCGAAGCATGTGCCTTACTGATTATGGTCGTGACCAGGACCATCCATAACCTCTACAAGTCGTCAGAATTTGATGTGTGGAACACTATCAATGGAGGAGCTTCCAGGCTTCACACTCCCAGGAGTATAAAGGGGTCTTTTCATTTCACACTATCTAAGTTTTGTAAGGGGTGTCAAAACACTATAATATGTTCCTGTTCGATGAGAACTGTCCTCGACCTCGTTCGTCAATGCAAAGATAACAGGATTCCCATAATTATTGTAGCTCCCGATTCCCCCGGGCGTCAACGGGGCGTCAACCGCGGACTTCTGTGGGAAAACGATTCAGATTCTCTTTCAACTCGTCTTCTTGCTGAAGGATCCATGAGCATCGGGCTTGATATAAAAAGCTGTCACCCCTGAAGGAAATCATTCAAGTGCCAGATTACTAGGTTAATGACTAGCTGAAGGGTTTGAAGGATGAAATGAAGGGTCAACTCTGCGTCCTGCTATGAAGGGCTGGCAGGACACGATCAAGAAGGACATTCCTATGTCGAGGTGACTGCAGAAGACACTGATCGTGAGGAGAGATGGAAATGGAGATGACCAACCAGAACAGTGAACCAAACCCTTCAACGGCGCGAAATCAACTCTAGGGTAAGAAACGGTGAAATTATCGAAATTAGATGCGCTTTTCATCAATTTGAAGGAATTCGGTCGAAATAAAACACTAAGCAAACCATTCTTGTCCAAATCATTCAAAAAATTTTATGGACTGTGCAATGTCCATACAATGTCTGAAGACCAGACTACGTGAGGAAGTTGAGGGGGGGGGGGGGGGGGGGGGGNGGGGGGGGGGGGAAAGAGGGAGCTCCTGGGAGTGTGAAGCCTGGATACTCCTTCACTGATAGTGCGCCCCACATCAAATCCTTACGACTTATGGATATGGGCGGTCCTGGTCACGACCATGATCAGTACGGCACTTGCTTTGGCCCTGGTGCAATATGGAGCCAAACTGAGGGTGGCAGCATCAAATGCAAAACGGCAACGGGATCTGAGCCATCAACCCAGCCTAGCCGTCTCAACTCGGAGTCCACACCGCTACCCAGTACAATATCCGTCGCTGCCAGTAGCTCAATCACGGAGAGCACATATGAAACTCCCCCGCACTATTCAACATGTGGCTCCCTTTTTTGGCTACCGTTCACGTTATTTTCAATGCGCAGTCCACTGGCGCCTTCTACTGTGCGGACAGTCGACGCCGTGATTGAAACAAGCGACGCTTAGCTGGTTAAAATGGCAGTTTCCAACAAAATCATTTTCACTCTTTTTTTGGCATTCAGAAGGCCATTTAGCGGAAATGGACCATAGTCCTGTACTCAGTGCTCATGCCCCTATAGCATGCAAAAAACCATTTTCGAAAAGAGCCCAAGTCCTGAGAGAACTTCCTTGTAAAAACAAGTAAGTCGGCTGAACGATCTTTGCGTTTTAGCGTTCAGTGATTCGGAAGGTCGCTGCTTCCCCTACCTACCCTTTCTCGCTTTTATTGCAATCCCTTTTCATTAGATTTCGCAGCGAAGAGGTAGACTTGCACCAATCAACTCCCAATACTTGGAATGTAGTGGAGAAATGTTACATTAAGCGACACATATACATTTTCGCATTCGTACAAACGAAGAGGCGTGATGTGCTCCAATGGCTGTCTATGAAACATGAAATATTCGCGCGCGGGAAACTAATTCAAAAGGCAGCCGGTGGCGAGATCTAACTACGTCCGGTGCGAAGGCGGGGAATGGAAACCGTGACAGTAGCGCTGCAGTGCTTCATTTCTTTTACATTTCCTGAATTAGTTTTTAAAAGACTCTTTTTCGATTTAGAATAATTCCCACATTCCTGTCGAATTACTTTGTCGCTTTTCGTCCCGCGAAGACAGGTAATCGAGGTGTCACCGTCGTACTTGGCTCTCACCGAAAAATGAACTCGATCCTCTTCCACGAGATCCATGATGGCGAAATGAAACAACTGTCTGTTCCACCTGATGATATCGCGTACCTCAACCGACTCGGACAGTTTATCGATATCTTTGAAGGCGTACTATTATCAGAAACTAGCGAGTATTATGGTGAAGAAAGGTTCATTCTTCAAGCAGAATACGATAGAGTGTACGATTTACTGTTTACAAATATTTCAAAATACTGCTATCTCTGAGCTTCATTTAAACTTGTTGTCGTTTTGTGTACTTTTCGAAGCTCTTTGCTCTTCA